GTCATTGCCATAAACTCTCAGCCTGTTTCTTTGGGTCCTTCTGAGTGCTTGAGCGCATCGACACAGTAGCTTATTATAGCGCCAGCCATTGCATTCACCCCACTTTCCATGTTTTCAAGTTAAAAAAGAAAGTGGGATCCCATTACCTTACAAGCCCAACTCTTCTCCCTCTCCCCTGATGGCACACTGAAACCTCACCCCACTGCCATCCTAGACCATCGCATCATCAAAGTGGGCAACCAAGACCAAACCGAACTACTCATCCAATGGGAAGGCACTCCCCCCTCTGACTCCACATGGGAACACTAGACATTACTCATCAAACATTTTATAGGTGTTAATCTTGGGGACAAGACTGTTCCAAGTGAGGGGAGTTGATATATCCGACATGGGGAAACAAATTTGATCCACCATTAGATTATATAATGGTAGACCCACCTGAGTAGGAGATAAGGGTGTGCATGTGCATGGAATGAGCTGTCGTCGCCACTTTCCTTGCCACCTTGCATTAATTTTTTTTTTGTTATTGTTTTAGCTAGTTATTGGCCTCCATTATGAATAGAAATACTAGTATAACGACCTCTAGCCCTATATAATCATTCACAACTTAATGAATAGGCAAATAATCAATTACCACAAAAATCCCTTGTTCGAATATCATCTCTTGATGAGTGATGCTTTACACCATAGCTCGTCGAGGATGAAAGAAAGCGTCTTCCCTCCTCTGAGAAGAGGGCGGCGTGACGACATCAGACATGGTATTGCTTTCTACCGATGACCAAATTGGGGTTGCCTATGTTCATACACTAAATTTAGATGTGGAATTGAACTTGAAAACATGGCATGCGAAATAGAAGAACCTGTCAAAGATGCCTGAGAAAGAGGGGTTAGATGGGTTGATCAAATGTGAGCGCCCCGATAAGAACATATATGGTTTTCATGCAAACATGGAGATTAACGAGAAGGGGCTGTATTTGGGACCCTCAAACATTATTCATCATGGTTGCAAGCTCAAGAACACAACTTGGGCTGTTGGGGTTGTAGTGTACGCTGGTCATGAGCTCAATAACACAACAAAAAGCTGAGAGATTAATTGAGTTTTCGATTTTTTTGTATTTCTTTTTTTCCTCCCTTTCGACGAAATGCAATCAAATACACTGTCTTCAAGAATGAAGACCAATAGAGGACATTTCTCTATAACATCACCATCTCACGAATCTAGGCTTATGAATTTGGAGAAAGTATAGTTCCTCCCTATATGGTCCCACTCCCAGTTTCCGTGCCCTGAGTTCTCTATGACAAAAGGGTATTTTAGGGAATTTTTAAAAATATACCAGTCACGTGATGTTATGTGTGAACAGTTATGATTGGGAGTTAACAGTAGGGGAGGTTTTAGACAATTGTCAAAAACAATATGTAAGTAGTATGAGTGAGTTAGTCAATTAGCTAAACCACAAGGGTAGTTTAAGAAACTTGCCATATTCTAAGTTTTTGTTTATTGAAAATTTGATTTATTATTATCAATTTATAATGTAATAAACCAATATTTTCAACCCGCTATTGACTTGGCTGGTCGAACCGTTCAAACCGTCACCCGACCAGGATTATGGGTCCAATTCAGTCAAGACCCATATCGTTGACTTGGTCAATAATTGTTTGACTCGACCGGTTCGACCTTTGACCCATTTGACCTGGTGATTGGGTTGCAGGTTGCACGCTCAATGCATGAAAAACTTTTGGAGGTTGTAACTTTGCACTCCGATGTTCAATTTGGGTGTTTTTTTGTTTTTTTTGGTAACTTTTCAAGATCTATGCGCTCCAAGGAGCCATAGGTGCCTTGCCCTACTATTTTTTGCAGGAAAAAAAACCTTTTTTGGCCTCAAATTATAATTTTTAATATTTTTATAAAAAAATAAAAACATAAATTAAATATAAAATAATACATATAACATATCTAAAACTTATTTATACATTATTTGTTGCTGAAATATATATTTACACACACACACACACACACACACACATATATATATACACACTTAATACATATGCGCTGATGTGGCACGGTCTGAACCATTTTACCTAGTCGGTCAAACTGTGGCCCATGACCCGGAAGAAAAAATAGTTCGACCTCCTAGCCGGTTTTTAAAACATTGTAATAAATTGAATGTCCTCTAGGCCTAGACACAACCTAAGTATGCCAATTTTTAGTTTAGGTTGGGGTTGAGTTGAAATGATTGAGATTGACTTTTGGCCCGGTTTTGGTTAGTGCATGAGGTCCAATATTTAAGTTTGGGCTTGGGTTGACCTTAAACCCTGTCCAACCAACCAAACTTGCACCCCTTGCCGTGGGGGCTATGGACTCATAGACCATTCATATGTCTTAATGTTAAGGTTGCCACGGGGTAGAATTGATTTGAGTGTTTCTTGAATACTGAAGGACCTAAGTCCAATTTTGTGGAAATTCTTCAAAATTGCCCAAGTTGGAATCCTATTTTAATTCAATTTTGGGTGGTGTTTGGCACCTGATGTAGGTTTTTCGGAAATCAACACCACATCAGTGATTAAAAAACCGTTGGTTATTTTGCTGTTTGGTTGGCTGATTTCTCAATCCATTATTAAATAAAGCTAAGTAGATAAGTCACCATTTTTGGGATGATTCCTATTTTTAGGTTGGTTTTGATTTTTTTTAGTGGTGTAGCATCCGACATGGATGGGGAGACGGTTTCCATAAAAGAAAAAAAAAATCAATGCTAATAAACACTACCAAACAAACTTATAGCCAATTTCTCAAATTTCAGTTGACAAAGCAATAATGGTGCCAAGCAGTCATGATTTACCATATAGTCTTTTGGATACTTCTGGGTAAGGCATTTGTGAGTAGCAAATCCAAGCAGTAGTAGATGCATTGGGATATGTTGCTAGCAAAATGTGCACTAACATGCTTAGAGCATGGCATCTAACAACATATCAAGATCTTCCCATGAATGGAGTTTGGATTTTCTCTTCATAGAGCGCTCCTCACATTGATCGGATTTGAGATCTGATCCTATTTGGTCGAAGTCAGATCACTCATGTTTGATCGGATCATATTGGATGATAGGATCCGACCATAAATTGGATCGGATTTAAACCCCTATCTAATTTGAGAAGATCCAATCTGATATGTATTATATATTTATATATATAATACATATACATGTTATTTATTTATTTATTTACAAATATATTTTAATATTATATTTTTATAAAACATGTATATATGATGAAAATAATTAAAAAATACTTGTACCTTTTTTATTTTATTCAAATTAGTATATTTTATATTTATTTTAATAATTTATTAATTTTTAAAGAAAACAAGTCATATCATATCAGATTTAAATATCCAACTTACCAATAGGATACAAAATCAGATCTGATCGCATCTTCAGATTGGTCGAATCTGACATGAATCGTGTTGGACCAGATTTGAATATACTCTGATTCAAATCTGATCCGATCCATTTGCATCCCTACCTGGAACATTTTTCTATATATGCATGTTGTTATTCATAGGGATGTTCCACCAATACATCACTAATTTGTGTCGTGAGATCAGTTTGAGGACTTCTACAAGAGGAATGTATCCAAACTCCCATTAATGTAACATACAAGTATGAGAGATGATCGTCAAATCTCCTGCACATGGAACACTATAATTGTACATTAGGAACATTTTCTAAACTTGAATGTTACCATTTATGAAGAAATGTTCCTGATGTGTGGGTTTGGGCAAGGTTATTGCAGGTAGGAGTCTAGGAGATCTAGACATACATGTGGATAGATGTGGTGCTGTTAGCACAATTCAGATCTCCTACCTATGAATGGATCTGGATTCAGTAAGAGCAAAGTCCATTCGAATAGCCATCATAGCCTTGCATTGGGAATATCTCCCCATGAAATAAAGCACAGAAGTACGGAGATATTCCCAATGAAAGGTTGTAAAGGCTGTTCGAACATTGTTCGAACGGGCCTAGCTCTGACTGAAGCCGATCTCCCTATGAATTGGGATGTTTCCTCGTAGAGTGCACCTCACAACCTCATTCCACCATGTATTGGGAACATCTCTCCATGATTAACAACACAAAATACGAAAGATGTTCCTGATGTATGGCCAGGAGGCGTTGTGAGGTTAATGCGAGGAGCAGATCTAGGCTCTCTACTCACCTACTTGACATTATAGCTGTACATTGTGAACATCTTCCTTTGAATGGTAACATACATAGCATATAAAGATGGCAATTTGATCCATTCCCGTGAGGCTCCGCCCTGCCCGCCCAAGGTGATTTTTTTGACCACTTATTGGGGTTTGAAAAAACCCAAAACTTTAGAGATCAGGGGATAGGGTGAAGATGGTATTTGTCTACAATGATGGGGATGGGGTTATGATTTTTAGCCCCGCCCGGGTTCGGAGCGGGGCATTTGAGTTCGAGTCAGGGTAGACAAAACCCGGCCCTGCCCGCCCCGTTGCCATTCATATTAGTATGATGATCCGTGTTCGAAGTGAAAAACTCGTCATCATGTGTTTTGAATGCCGTACGCAATGCATCATAGGCCATACATCTTCAATATTGTGATCAGGTGATCTGATCCCACTCCCCAATATTTCAGATGTTTGATAAGCGGTGCATAACTAAGGTGCATGTCATGAAAAGGTATGATATGGATCCGATGTTATGATTCGAGTCCGCGTAATCCTTTTTTTTACTCCCGCGAAGACTACTAGCGGAAATTTCAAAAAAGGGGAACAGAAAACGAAAGGAGGCAAATGCAAACCATTTGAATATTCGAGTTAGCCTACGCCACGTCATCGATCCGAAGCAAGTTTCTAGTCTTCATCTCAGCCGTAAATTCAGAAATATCGGACAGTCAAGAAATTCCCTTGAAAATCCGCCGAGAGCACGATCGATCCTCGATGTACCCTTATCGTTTTCGTTTAAATACCCCAGAATACCCCAAACATCGGTCATCCCTCTTCCAAGCCTCCAAGCGAAGCTAAGTTCGGAATTTCGAATTTGCTTACTGTGATATCTTAGTTACAGAGAATCAACAATGTCTGGCCGTGGAAAGGGTGGAAAGGGTTTGGGGAAGGGTGGAGCAAAGCGTCATCGTAAGGTTCTTCGCGATAACATTCAGGGCATTACAAAGCCAGCCATCAGGAGGTTGGCCAGAAGAGGAGGTGTGAAGCGTATCAGCGGTCTGATCTATGAGGAGACCAGAGGTGTTCTCAAAATCTTCCTCGAGAACGTGATTCGCGACGCTGTAACCTACACCGAGCACGCTCGCCGTAAAACGGTTACTGCGATGGACGTGGTTTATGCTCTTAAGAGGCAGGGCAGGACTCTCTATGGGTTCGGTGGTTAGGGTTTTCAGAGGAAAAGTCTTGCTATCAAGAAATTGGAACGTAGGAATTAGATATTTTCTTTCCCTTTTTTCTGTTTTCTCTAGGGGTGCTTAGTTGGTTACTTTTTGTCTTGTGATTACGGTGCTCTTATCCCTGTTCTAGCTCTCTGATATGATTTAATTTTGGAGAGGGAAGGTGTGGATGTAATGTACACTTTATGTTGAAAATCAATGTAGAGAAATCTTCGTTCTCACATTTTGAGTCTTACATCTTTATACGTGATATTGTTTCTTAATGGGGTTGAAACTGATATTTTATGATCATGTTCCTTCTACATTGATTCCATGCCAACAAAAGCGTTGTCTTGCTTGCTACTATGAAAATTGAAATCCCTGGATCGAATTCAATTGCCCTCCAGCAAGAAGTGTCTTGAAACTTTATTTTGTGTTGTCTAGACTCGAGAATAGTATCGAGCCCTCTCCTCTCCACCAACCTTTTACTATGTTTGTTCATCTAGACCATCTAGGATTGAACAGAAGGATGCAGGTTAAGTGTGATTGTGGAGAGCTCCGCTTCACCGCTAAAGATAGGTATGGCATCATACCTAAGCCATTAGAACCTTACAAGTTACAGATATCTTCAGAAGTCTGTAAGCAAGCGACTTGCTTCATCATTTTACCATTTTGGGTCATGTTTTCATTACCTCAAAGGTTCAAACCCTCAACTCAATACTTTCTTTGGTCATGGTTTCATTATTTAGCAATGGATTATTAGTTCCATTTTTGTTATCCTCTTTGCACATGAATACATGATTAACCATTGTAAACAACCTTTCGCCCTTGTAAATATGAAATTGATGGCACCATTTGGGTGTTGCCGTATTAGCCAAATTAATGTTTGTGATAGTAAAATCGAGATTAGGTTGGTAATCGGCTGATGCGCCCCAATCGAAATTTGGAGCCTTGATGACAATGAACACAAGTAATCTAATTCTCTTAACCCTGCCAATGTTTTGCTAGCATTATATGCATAATAACTTGATGGAGATGGTGATCCATTTTCATATTTTTTTGATAACAATTTTCATTTGCACATGCATATTTTTGTCAAAGTAATTTTTGCAAGGTTCAGGAATCACATCCCCCGCATCACATTGCTAAATGATGCTCTTAATGAACTACCTGAAACTCTGAAAACACTGCCAAGGAGGAGCTTGACCGGACTGCACAAGTTGTAATTGACATCTCAGTGCTCGGATCTCGATCAACTCTGGATTTTTGAACAGAGAATTCATGAAATTTTGCTAATCCATCCATTTTTCAGGCTGGGGTTGGGTCGTTGGCTAATAATCCAAAATTACATGCATTTCTTATTTCTCTTAGCTACGCACATTCCAGTTGCTATACAACGATACAATATTATAATCCTTTAAAACAAACAGAACAATGTTACTGCACAAACAGCATATCTGAAACGTTTGGACAGAGATTTCACTAAAGTCTAGGAAACGTTCATCTTAAGAAAAGAAAAAGCTGAACATGGAAATCGCTAATCAAGTCTCATCTGATGCTATGCACTTTTTTCCACCATAGAAAAGTTTCACCTCCCATGTAGGGCAAGTCTCACAAGTCTTGTTTACTACCTTTGCTTCCAGCTATTGTACAGATTAGACTGCAGGGTTAAGAGCACGCTCAATTTCCTCCAGTGATCTCCCCTTGGTTTCCACAACGTTGGCAGCTATGTACAAAACAGCTAGAGCACAGACAGTTGCAAATCCCAAATAGACGGTGTTGATCCCATACTTGTTTACAACACTCAAGAAATACAAGCCAATGACAAAGTTGGAAACCTGTTAAATTGCCATAATATGTATGAATAGAAAAAAGTACAGTAAGTGATAATAGCATAATGCAGTCAACTGAAAAAAAAAAAACAAAAAATGGAAAAGAAAACCCATGGAGAAATCATTTATATGGGATAAAGAGCCATGTGATGGGTAAACCATGTGAATATAAACCTTTCCTTTTCTATGTGAAAGGATATTAACAATTTCCTGATTTTCTATACATTCATGCAATCATAGATTCATATGCATAATGTCTTATCTCTGGTGCTCATGTTGACACATCAATATTTGTTGCCACCAAATTTAAGGAAACAGAAGCCTAATGCACAGATTAGGATTTCCAAAATATAGAGATCCTAAAGAATAAAAAAGTCATTCCTTAATAAAAGGATGATGAAGCTCATATTCAAGGAAATAGTTGGAACTGAGATCAGGGATTGAAGAAAAACTAAAATGAGAAAACAATTGTTAGTTTTGTTATTGGTAGAAAATCACACTTCATTCAGAATTTGTTTAGCATCTACAAAGAAAAAATGATTCTTCTTTTTCAGGTAATATAGTGTGTTTTTTAAAACTAAAGATGCATAAATACAATAACCAAACATTGCTATCACTTATGGGAACCAGCATAGTGAAAGTAAATGTAAATCCATAAATCCATTAGTTTTGCACCATGAAACACAAGAACAAATTATTACTTAAACTAAAAAACATATACACATAAAAAGGTCGCAGCTTATCTACTACACTCACCCAGTGCATGCCCAAAGACAAGGCAACTGCTTTTGCTCTTATTCTAGAGGCAAATATCTCTGGAAGAAGAAGAGCTGGCACAGGTCCCGCACCCAGTGAAAAGGACAATACGTAGCTGTTTAAATTGAATTATAGAAGATTTGTTGGTCAAGATGGAATAAAGTTTCACAACAGGAAGAAACATTAGTCACTATCAAGAAAAAAACAGTTGATCGGCATTAACTTACAGGACTGTACCCAGAACAGCAAGTGTCCCAGAATATGGTGCCAACACCTTCCAAGTGAAGGAGAATGAGAGTAGCAACATTGAAGAAGCCTTGAGAGGACATATCACAGCATAAGGTCAGTGATTGATCAAACATTCAAGATGAAGATGCAGTGAGAGGACAATGTTTTGTTACTATGGCATCTGTAGTTAAACATAAGGTCCTTAACTACATAGTAAGTATTTCAGGGGTTTATCCTACACACTCAGGAAAGAAGAAAGGCGTTGCTCCTTTTGATAAGTCATAAACTACTCTGGGTTCATGTGGCAAATTGTAAATAATCAACATAGATCTTCAGTCCAGAAAAAAATCATTTGAGGAAGCATCCAAGAGATGGAAAGCAGCTATTGTCATGTCAATTCAAGCACTTGTCATAAAGTAATGTTAGCAAAAAAGTCCTATGGGACATGTACAGGTTCCAGTCTTGAACATGGTGATTAGTATTTAAAAGTTTTTCTATCAATCTCCATATCCTATCACTCACCTCCAATTTGTTGATGATACAAATTTGTTCTGTGATGGAAATGACTTGAGATGGGTGAGAAACTTAAAGATGAATTGGGATAAAAGACGTCTCATGGGATTCAAAAAGATTGGTGTTGGAGTGTAAGGTGGAAACTTTGCCCTTGAACTATTTGGGTTTACCCCTGGGGGATGATCTGAGGGGAAGTCAATTTTGGAACCCGGTTGGGGAAAGGTTTTCAAAAAGATTGGTGTCGTGGAAGAAGTGTTACCTATCTTTAGGGGGTAGGATAACACTGATTAGGTCCACCCTTGCAAATTTGCCGGTTTACTTTTTGTCTGTTTTCAGGGTTCCAGGAGGGATAAGCAAGCAATTAGAAAAAATGATGAGAGATTTTTTATGGGAGCCAGGGGAGTAGAAAAAAGACCATAGAGTTAGTTGAGAGATGGTTAAAAGAAGTAAGAAATACGGAGGGTTAGGTTTAGGGAATATTCAGGAGAGGAATGTGGCTCTGCTTGCAAAATGGCTTTGGAGGTTGCCAATTGATAGGGACAAGCTATGAGTGAAAGTGATTATCAGTATTCATGGTCTTGTGGCTGACGGTTGGGATGCTGGTGTTTTGGCCAGGGATACAAGAGCTTCCCCTTGGAAATTTATTCATGCCATCCTTCATTTTTTAATTTCCGTTTGTCAGGTATAACCCTTGCTCAAGTAACATTGTTAAATTTTGGGAGCACTTATGATTGGAAAATGCAACTCTCAAAGTGCAAATTCCCTCAATTTTTGCATCTCAAACCAGAAGAATGAACCTATTGCCTCATTTATTAACCATTCCAATTTGACCTCTGGTTTTGCTTGGGATTTGGGCCTTAGGAGGGGTCTTAGAGAATGTGAGGCCAACAATACCATTACCTTGATGCAAAAGCTTGAGAGAGTGTATTTGGACCCTTCAAGAAGAGATTGCAGTTAATCCAGAATAATGATAGCCGGGGCCAACTTTTCCCAGTTAATGAGGTTTGGAGTAAGCCTATTCTGCCTAGGATTGGTGGCTTTTGTTGGGAAGTGATTCTTGGTAGGTCAACTTGCTTCAAAGGAAAAGACCTAACTGTTGCTTATTTCCTCATTGGTGTCTTCTTTGTAAGACTAATGGTGAGTCTTCCCATCATTTATTAATATCTTGTCCTTTTGTTCTTCCAATTTGGGATTGGTTTCTTTCCTTAATTGGGTGCAGGTGGAATCCCCCATCAGATGTACAAAGCCTATTCTGCCCCACCTTTGTTAGATGGAAGAAAAGAAGAGGCAAGATCTTGTTGAAGTGTACAAGAGCTGCTGTGTGTTGGACAATTTGGGAAGAAAGAATCAAAGGTTATTTGCAGAAAAGGAAAGAAATAGGGAAGCCCTCATTGAAACAATTACAATTAGAGTGATCTATTGGGTAAAGACTCTGAAGTTATTTGAAGGAGTTTCTGCTACTGATGGTAGCAGTGAGGGTGTAACCCTGGAACTTCTGGCACTGGGGGGGGGGGAGTTAAATGTATCCAAACTAATAATTGAAGGGGATTCAAAGCTCATTATTGGTTGGCTCCAAAAGGAGGAGGAGATGGACTGGTGGGAGTATTTAAATGAAAAAAGAAAGTCCAGAGACTTGGCTCAAGGAATGTAAGTTCAATTTAAATGGATTAAGAGAGATGCCAATAGCTTGGATGATGCTTTGGCTAAGCAAGGGGAGGGAAGAAACGACTTATTCTGGGCTATTCTGTAATGTTTTCTTCATTTTTGGAGAGTGGGAGCTAAGAGAGTTTGGCTCCCCTCCCCCTCATTGTACTCGCTTATTAACTTATTTATATCTTAATGAAATTCTTTCAGTTATTGATAAAAAAAAAAGATTAGTATTTAAAAGCAATGTTAAGAGCCCAACATCAATAACTTATTTACTCCAACTAAAAAAGAAAAGGAGGAGATCCCCTTCATCATGTTGGAAAGTAAGCAGGTGTTTGTAACATTCCCAGGAACATTTCTCTCATGAACAGACAAACATCTATTTTCTGCTTCTTGGGAGCAAAAAGGAACATCAGAACCACTCCCAGGAACACTACGAATGCCACCTGTGCTACCAACTTCAAGCTTGTGTAGTTTTGGTTTATATTCCATGGTGAATGTTCAAGTATTTAAATGCCTGAGAGGGGAGACTACTAATCATTGTGTAATTATTTATAGTTTTGGTTACCAGTTGATCACCATGGAATTAAGCAGCCAAAGTCTAAAGCATGGAACAGGTGCAGGAACTAGAACTAGAGTTAGAGTATTTAGTATTTACTATTGCCTTATAAGTTATTCTAGTGAATAATGAACAAACTGCATACCTTAATGAAGGGAAGAATGATAGGCTATGAGGCTAAAAGAAAAAATGTAGGAAACAGTTACAAGGCTAGCAATGTTGCATGAAGAAGAGTGTTGGGACAGTCAAGAAACAAAATGTTAAAAAAGTGAATATAGCAACGCAAATTTTGAGACGAATGAATAGAAAACTAGAAAGAATAGTATGAGAAATGCACTTATTCAAATGAACCTAGGAGTAGCTTCAACAGGTGATAAAATGATCAAAAGCAGACGTACATGGTTTGGTAACATACAGAGAAGACAGCAATAGTGAAAAGAAGTGACCTGTTACAAGTTGTGTAGGGTCTAGGAGAGTTTGGGGAGGAATGATTTTAGAGCCCATGGTTTAACAATGGATCTAGCACTGAACATAGCAGAATGGTAGAACAGGATTGATATAATTGGGATAAGGCTTGGTTGAGTCAAGTAGAGCTCAATTCAGTTGAGAGAGAAGATGGGTGATCTGGAGCTGGGGTGGGGAAAAGAGAGCATGGACACCGTTAATAATTCAAATATGCAGCTTATAGTATCAGAAGGTGTGTTCATTAATTCATTGATTACCAACTTGTCATTGCTAACTTAAGGTACGGAAGAGTCCAAAATCAGTGGGTAAAAAGATCTATGAGCAAGTGACGTGATATATTCATGATCCTCTAAAATCAAAGAACATATGTCTTAAACAGTTCCACTCCCAATCCTTAGAAAGTACAGTTCTAGAATGGGAACATTCCCATTGTGGATGGTTCTTGTTACTAAGCCTTGGAATGTATAATATGATGCAGAAAAGGTCTAGGACTATAGACTACCTACTACCTTATTTCCTTCACACTTAAATTTGTATAGGATCTATACCATAGACAGATTGCATGGTCATGTTTGCTGAGTTGCTGCCGCTGGATTTGCAGCGACTGGGATGGTCAACTGTCAGCAAGATTTGTTCATATGACTCCATTATCTAAATCAAGACTGGTTGGATGACATCAACCAAAGGAAGGTGAAACAAATAAATGTAAGATTCGGTTATAGAAAATCACATTATCAATATATAGTTTCCACGAAACCAAAACTATATGTCACAGTTTCCAACGTTAAACAAGCCAGCGGTATGCATTTGCTATCTTTAGGATCAAGAACACAATGAAGATCCAAGGTTTTACCATTCCAAGAAAGCTTGTAATCAAGAGACTCTTTCTTCCTTGCCTGTCCATTAAGGAAGATGCAATAACAGTGCCTGCATTCAGTAACACAACATCTCACATGGATTCTGCTCAACCAATCTTGGATCAAATGCCCTAGCTTTCACATAGAACTTGAAGTGCAAAAGTGCAATAGAAAACTAACCAAAAACATTTGATGCCCCAACCAAAGCACTTGCTGCAACATCAGATGCAATCCCAGCGCTGCGGAACACAGAAGTGGAGTAATATACCACAGCATTTATTCCAGCTAATTGTTGAAAAAAGAAAAGTGCTAAACCCACGCTCACAACTGCAATAGGACACAAATGGTAGAAATAACTTCATATTCTTTAACATGTACTAGATGACAATTGACAACCAGACATGATGAGATATAAAAGCAGAAACAAATCTCAGATAGCATACAACTATATGGAGAAGCAGTTCCTATTTCCTTATTTATGAACCAAAGACAATGGGCCACCTATATCTAACTTTTTAGAACTCTGTACAATGTATTCTTAAAAATGTCATGGAAATTGAAATGTCAACAACTAAGTCAAGGAAAAAAACACAAAGGATAAAAAGTCGATATGGTGATGAAACCGGATAAAGTACAGTTTTCTTTTTTGTTGCAGATAGTATCATATCCTTGCCCTTCGGTAGTTTATGGATGTAAACCTAATTGGAAACAGAAGATAGAAATACAAAGATGAAGTAATTGCATGTATCTCAGCAGTCTTATCCATCAGTTCAAGGATATTTTATGTCCATCCCCACAAAAGAAAGTGGAAATTAAGCTTAAGTTACATAGAATATATAAAAGTACCTTTCCAATAACGACTACTAAAGAGGTCAAACCACCCAGCCTCTGGCTCTGTGGAACTCTGATTACTTTCTCTTAAATCATGCATGACATCAGCAATTTTTTCTTTTCCAAAGAGTGTCCTTATAGCCATCTCAGCTTGAGAAGTTTTCCCTTGCTGTTCAATAATGGATTATGTTTAAATTCTTAAGAATAACCTACATTTGACTACATACAGTAGAAGCACGGGTAATGATCTATTTCACAAAGTATCTAACCTGGAAAAGCCACCTGGGACTTTCTGGAGAAAAAGACATCCCCAGAGCCATCAGAACAGAAGGAACAACTGCAATCCCGAACATTGTCCTCCACCTAATCAAAGAACAATGGAATAAGAAAGAATAAAAATGGAAAACATGCAAAAGTTCATATTCATGGTAATTAGCAATCTATCTCAAGCTTTTATGATAAGGGGAAATTGTAGGGTCTTAACACATATGAACCAGAGTGTGACCATAAATTGAACCTTTTTGGTAAAAATGTGATCATGAATGACAAGGAACAATTCAATTTGGATGTTAACTCAAAATTCTGGCTTAGATGAAATATATCAAGAAGCAAAATCAGCTTGAGAACCAAATTAATGGAATTTCTAATTAGGTAAACTATCTGTAGATCATTGCACAATCAAGTGTTCAAGGAGGACCAACAACCCCTTTAGGTTTGAAAACATGTAGCTTACGAACCCATTTTTTTATCAAGTAGTAGGAATTGATGAAATGAACAGATGGAGGCAGAAAGGATGGGTTTTGAACCGTGGAAAAAATTGCAACTAATCAAAGTAAAACTCAATGTCTAGAATAAGGACATCTTTGGTAACCTAATTAAGAAAAAAAATAATATCATGACATAAAGAGATGTTGGATAGGCTTGAGACTGATGGGGCTCTCAATTACTCTAAAAGGGAAGAAGAAGGAACTTGAAGTTAGAATATGATACAATATTTGAAAAGGGGAGAAATATATTGGAAGCAGAAATCAAGGTGTAGATGGGTAAAGGAAGGAGATGGTAATTCAAAGTTCTTCTATTCATTAGCAAACAACATGAGAAACAAAATTTATGTGCCAAGACCTGTGGTAGACAGTTTGGTGGGATCACTTCAAAGGTATTCTTTGGGTGGGTTCTCCTAGGCTTCCATTCAGTATGTTGGAAGGGTGTCAAATTCTAGAATTTGGGGGAACCACTTAGGCAGGACCCCCCNCCCCCCCCCGAACAATATTACAGCTCTAAAAGACTTCTTGTCCTCAACAGAACCCCTAATTCTGAGGCATGGAGCCCTTTTGCAGCCACAATCCAAGAGACCAACTTGCCAAAGGTGAAGGAAATCTGGAAATCCTAAAAACTCATTGTAAAACACCAGGGGCCACACTAGCCTAAAACATGGTGAGATGCTTGACATGCTCCATTCTAGATATTACATAACACATTCTTTTCACGTATTAATAAGGCAAGTTTCAGTTACTAGTAAAAAACTTGTTGTAAAACCCCAAGAAACATGCCAGAAAATTCCAGATAAATCCCCATTTGTCTGAAATAATGCATTATTTGATAACACTAGAGATTTTACAAGATACTGTCCAGTTGAAAGATCTTCCTCATGCGTATGTACCATACTGAGGCCCTGAGAGCTACAAAAGTAACTTTCAGTTGAACCAGAGCTGAGAGCCATTATTCTCTTAGAATTTTGTACTAAATTCCAGTTAAACCTGCTCTTACATCATCTCAACCTGGCTTGAACAAGATATTACCACTTACCAGGCATGCAAATGAAATCCATAAAGCACCAAACACAAAGAAAAATAAGATTAAAAAAACAGAAAATGTTAAAGAGACAAGGCACACAAGATTTATATGGTTTGGAATGAAAAGCCTACATCCACAAGAGAAAGCCTAATCCACACTGTACCAAAGAAATAAGGGAAGATACAACCATGAATCACAACCAACCTCACTCAGTCCCTCATCTCTAACCTGAAAAAAGTGAACTTATAAAAGCCTAAAATCACACAAGAACCAAAAAATTACATACAGCCCCCACATAAAATACCCAAACATTGTCCAACATCCTTGAAGGAAAACCTGGAAAAGAATACAATCACTCAACAATTTGAGTGGAGAACTCTCTAGAATACTTCTCCTTATGATGGGATCACATTGATCTTCACTTCCCCATCAGCCTTAATCCGTTCAAAGTTATCCTTCTGTGAGAGCTTGAGTTGCACCAAACATGAATTTATGGTTGTACCACCATTATCATCAAACTCCATTGATTGTTTTGCCATCTAATAATTGTAGCAGACATATCATAACCATTTTTTATATGCAGGATAATAATGAGAAACATTTCCCTTTTTTATTATGTATCTTTTTTTCTGTAATCAATGTGAATTTGGATGACACAATAATATAATGTTAAAAGTGTTTGAAAATGTATTGATGTGAAAGAGAATACCATAGGGGATTCTGTGCTAATGGTAATCCAGCCAACAATGCTGCAAGAATTCCAATACAAATGAAAAGTTGGTTGATAGATCCAAGAGCACCACGAATTTCGGTTGGTGAAATCTAGCCATAAGTTGAAAAGGAAAATGTTTTAGCTGCAATAAAATTAAAGAGGAAATATAATCTCAATTATCATATTAACAAACAACATTTATTACCTCCGATATGTAAAGTGGCACTAAAGCAGATGAGATACCAATTCCGATGCCGGAAAATAAGCGGCCAATTATCATTGTCTGTACACTCTGGGCTGTTGCACTGAATAAATGTTTTGAGAGCATTAATATGCTGCTAATAAATCCAAGTATCACATCATCACAGTCAACAGGAAAGGACAAACCAGAGAAATGCCCCAACTGCAAGTGGAATTGCATCTAGTTGAAAAGTCCTTGTTCTACCAAACTTGTCAGCCAGTGTTCCTCCAGTGAATGAACCAACAGTAGCACCGGCTAGGAGAGTGCTGACAATCCATCCTATCAAAATCTCATATTGCATAAACTTGTAAACCCCACTCATGAATTCAAAATAATGACATTTATTATCAATAACTGGAAAAGATTTTATTTATATGGGAATTATAATGCAATAAGTTGTACAAGCAGTAGTCTCACTTTTCTATGTGCAAACACAGCTTGCTATTTCAATCCATAAGGAGTGGTCTATGAGAAACAGATCATTTCACCACAGGGAGTATTCCTCCCCACCCCACCCCAAATAGATATGTTCCTGATGACTCCATGATCTAGACAGTCTACAACAGTATTGGCTGATTGAGGATTCCAAGCGACAATAGCTCTCAAAAGGCTCAAAACAGATCTTGCCTCTCTAATCTAGTGTCTAAACTGCCATATTTCATAACCAACTAGTGAGTTTTCATAACCAATCCGTGATCACTATAGAGCCCCCTTCAACTAGCAAGTTTTCATAAACAACCTCTTTTGCCAATCTCAGGCTTTGGATTACTGCTAGGAGTCTGGCTATTATGGAGTTTCCTGTACCTATTGCGGCCCAAAGAAAGTCAATAGAGTTTCCCTTCATGATTTCTAAATATACTTCCTATTCCTGATGGCCCTATATTACCTAAGCTACATCCATCAAATTCAGCTTCATCACATGCAAGGGAGCAGGGGACCAATAAATTTTAGGCCTTACCCTTTCTACATTTTCCCAATGTAGTGCTTTGATCCCAATCAGTCCAATTAGGGACATTTTGAACTGATATTTGTCTAAGAAAATCCAAGCGCTTCTCTCTTCCCAAATTGTCCAAAGGACAGCTGCTGTCATGCATCTCCATAGAAATTTCCCCCCTTCTTTTCTAATGGAGAGAAAAAAGGATGGCCAAAATGCTGTCAATATCCTATGGAAGGATCCATCTGACACCAAAGAGAGCTAAGAAATGCTCCCAAATGCTGTTTACAAGTTAACAGGAGATTAGTAGGTAAGTCATGGTTTCACAACCCATGCATAGAAAGCAAATATGGGGCTAGAGGTTCCAGTTTGGCCTTCCTTTTTTAGATGGTCTCATAGGCATTCATCTTTACATAAAATACTTTCCAACAGAAAGCCCTAACCTTTGGAAGGTGGGACTTGACCAAATTGCTTTAACTGGAAATGCCAAGTAGGGAGGCAACGGGTTAGAAATGGCCTTGAAGAAAAAGGGAAAAGATAAGTTACCAAGGTGATCAACGTTCCGAATTTTCTCATATGACCTCATAGGTCCAGGAAGACACCATCAAGATGATCAAATAACCTTAAAGCTTCCAAAGTTTCATTGCCACCAACAGAGACCAAACGGCAAATACCCACATAAAGGAGGAAGTAGAGTAGTTCTTTAATGGAGATATTGAAGCAAAGAAAGAATACATGAAGAGATAAATCAATTTTCAATTCCTATACCAATTTTGGAAAAGTAGGGCAATAGGATATTGATATTGTTTTTTTTTTTAATTTATTTTCTAGTTGCGAGCATCTTAAGAATAAGGTTTTAAATTTTCCCGAAATCTACTGTTATTTTGAAATTATCATTAATGATAACTTTCACACATGCTATTTAGTAATTCATGTAATTTCTATTTATAGTAAACCCGTGGTTTACTATTTTTAGTAATTTCTGGTGTCTTCACATTAAGTTAATTTTAGTAGGATTAGAAAAAGGTGTAGCTGTAGTTGTTTATGAGTTAAAAGTTCATATTGGAATGTCTCCATGGGTTATTTATTGATTTGTGATTTGTCTTAGTTTTAAAGCAATTAGAAGTTGATTCAGGTTAGTTTACTAGTCCAAATTAGGACTCTGTAAAGGGATACCGGGTTCATTAGTTGAATCTATAAATAGTCATTGTAATTGCAAGTTGAAAGGGATAGAAGCACTAGGGACAGACTAAAAAGAACATGGAATAAAGTAGTAAGAAATTATTCAAGTGCTTATAATTTAACAATGGATATGACACTAAATGTTTGGGAAGTGCAAAACAGGATTCAGGTAACCAACCCCATATGGTTGGGATAAGGCTTAAATGATGATGATGATGATGATGATTTGATGAAATAAAGTTTGATTTAGTGAATTCTGGTAATTGCCAGGAATATCTCTTTGCCACTTACCATAAACACAAGAGTTCTCCCTTCTTTTGATTTCTTACTCATTCTTTGGTGGACATCAAGCTTGCCCTTGCTTTTTCATCCATATTCTTACATCTTTAACCACTTAAAGCCCCTCCTTCACCCCATAAAGCCCACCACTGGATCTTAAATTAGTAGGACCCCTACCCTCTCCTACATCAAATTTTAAATGTAATACAACCAAACCTTGAAATTTTGCATACATGAAAGTATAAATCTCAGAGATATGTACAAAGCAAACCAATGTGTTAGAGAAGTGATTATTTCATACTTAATATATTCTTTCAATATCTTCCACTTGTATGACAAGATTATTTAGATTTTAGAATTATATTTCCTAATATATTAAGTAATCTGTAAGAGGTTTTGATTTGTTAATTTGGTTACATCATGTGACTCATTGTATTCATGCCTGACATCAAGGTTTATCCACATGTCCAAGTTAAAATAAATAGGAGAGGATTTAATTTTCATAAATAGAAAGAAAGCAAAGAGAATGGTGATCTGCATCATAATTTACGAATTTTGCAACAGATATTTAACAAGCATGTAAAAAAAAGCACCTTGTAACGCAGTATTCTCAGCAATACCAAGATCCTTAGATAAGTATTCAAGTGCCCCATTCACAACACTGCCATAGAGGAAGAGAACTTTATTTAGCCTCATATTGATGCCTATTAGGTCATAAGAAAGCAGAGCATAAAACCACAATCCTGATATGATAGCTGAAAGAGCAATATGGAAAGAAATAAAATTTCCTGAATTAATCAGTACAGAAGAAAAAGAAGTAGAGTGTGCTCTTTTCATAGTTAAGCTACTACGTACCCTAGATGATACCCAAACAAAATAGCTCCTAAACAAGCAACACCAACATAGGCAAAAACTGATCCAGAAGATTTTCCTTGAAGCTTGGTGGGGATACCATCCTCAATACCTTCATCTGTCAAAAAATGTCCCAGGATGTTACATGCTACTTCTAAGAAAATAGTCAATGAAGAAGCAAAAATACAAGTCCCTGGCTTAAACATGTAAGCTTCTTTAAAGCAAAAATGACAAACCCCATGGTTAGATTTGAAACTTCTTTTAAATATAAGAACCATTAATTCAAAAAGAGACAAAAACATTCTAAGCATCTGTGTCAAATTCTCTAGGAACATTGCTTGACAATTCAAACCCATGTGTGAAACTGAAACACAGATTTGAGAACATTATAAAGCCCAGGAAAGATAAGGTTTTACAAGCCTATATCTATGGGACAATAAGGAGGCTTGACAAGATTCTTGTTTGCAAGATTTTTTAACAAATGAGATACACCGGCGTGCTAGCTCCTTTAGTACAGTGGCTATGGAAAACTGTGAACAAACACCAACATGGATCATCAAACCAAATATAGTGTGTGTGTGTGTGTGTGTAAGAGAGAGAGAGAGACTTCAATGATAACCAATGTTAGAAACTATCTAATGTAATAAAGGTAAAAGATAATCAGGATCTTATTAGCAGTTAAACTACAGATCAAAACAAGCATGTATTGGTTAAAAAGATGGCTTAAATGATAGAAATTATAAGAAAAAGTGTCGTGACTCGTGATGTGATAGCATACAATCAGCCATAACAATATCTACCCAAGAATATTCAAGGACTGCAACGAACGCGTGCACAGAACATGCACATGCACAGAACCGTATTTGATGCAGTTTCAAGAGATGATTCTACCCTTTCATGACATATCTTGGATTTCAGACGAAAGCAGGGTTTAAAGAAAAGGAAACTAAAGCCAGAGAAACTCCAGATAAAGCAAACTCTCGGATGAACAACTTTTACCAGTTCATTAAATTTAAACAAAGTGATAACGACAACAAAATTGATATCACAGATAACAAAGAGAAGTAGCCGAGGGATGCATGTGAAGTGATGAACAAACCAGAAGCTTGAGCCTTTACTGATCTAGGCTTCGCAGATGACCTAAACATTGTTTCAACTCCCGCTCTTGCCCGAGTAAGTTCTGCTCCCATGGACACCGAACCAAAGTATGACCTACGGTAGAATCCTCTGTCGATAAAGGAGATAGCTCTCCTGGCTGAACTTCTTTCACAGAGTCCACCAAAACTAGACCAGATCCTACGCTGTTGCAGCTTAGAACCTACACTTCCCTTGAATGCATAAGTTGAGGCTTGCATTCTTACCTGCTAGCGAATCTAATTAGCCAATAAAAACTCGAAATTTTACAAATACCAGCTAAACAAAGATTTTTTTTCAAAAAGCATCAATATCACCTCTTACCAAACCAGAAACTTGAGAAAATGACAGCAATAGGCTGGAAATCGGCTTCAAGGGACTTCGACATTAATAACTAGAAAGAAATTCAAAATGATTTATACAAATTCAATAACGTAATTTGAATGCAACTGACCAGAAGAAACGACTACAAAGACATTAAACACGAATTTCCAATACGATTGTTCAACGTAGACTATGGCAGAAACAGGAAGAGAAAACGAAAAGGAATAAACAAAAAATATAAATAATTGAGTTACAGAAGCTGCTATTATCATTTAACGTAGACGACCAACCGATTCGGTTTACATAATCGAACAATGAAGAGAGAAGAGATCGAGCAGAAATTAAAAAGTAAAACCTGCAGCGAGATCTGAACCGAAAACACGATCCGATATTTTCTGCAGTTTTCGCTCTTCGCCGCCACTCGATTCTCTTACCGTAACGAAGAAGCACTAATAAAATTTTCATCAGTGAAAAGAAACTTCGTTTAGTTCTGCTGTGCTTGTCGAAAAGAAGAAGAAGAAACGGAAGCGAGCCTGCTGAAATCGGAATAGTCAACTGCCACGTAGGTTTTGATGATTGTCAAATTCTTTTCGGCATCGTAGATTGGAACTATGGTAATTCGTAGTCAACTAATCCCCATCTCTCTCTCTCTCTCTCATGTAATTGAGCAACACGAAGGTTTACATGTAAGACGTAACACCACCGTAAGATTGGAATGGTGACGAACTGACGATAGTAATAGAAATTTAATTGGATTTCTATTTATCCATTTCTAGATCCTGGGAAGAAAATATCTTGATCCAACAGTTTTAATAATTTTGGTGTCTAAATCAATCAGAGGAGTAAAAAAGAGTTAATGGTAGACACATGGCACATTAATAAATAATTAATTATATAAAAAGACTAATAAAATATTGTAAATATAATTAATAAAATAAAACATTAATAGTAAAACAAAAATAATAACGAAACATTATTCGTTCATTGTGAATACTAACAAATTAATAATTAAGTAATTATCAATATTCATTAATTAACTAATTATTTATATAATTAATAAATAAAAATATCAATAATTAATAATCAGTTAATAATAAAATATAAAATAACAAAAATACTATTAATTATTATTAATCAATTAATAATAAATATCTAATTGTCAATGAATAATAACATTCTAAATAATAATAAAAATTAAAAAATACTATAATTTATTTAATAATTACTAAAAAAGTAGATAATCATTAATTAATTAATACATATTTAATCTAGTTTAATTAATCAATAAATAATAAAAATGTTGGTTAATTAAACATGATTAGTAATAGAAAATATAAATTAATAATTAATTCATAGTAAATATTAACTAATTAGTATTTAATTACTTAATTGGTTATCTAAATATAAACAAATATTATTTCTTAATTAACAAGCTGATCAATTATAGAGGTAATCAATAAAATATTAATAGTTAATAGTTAATTAATTATTTAATTATCAATATTAATTAATTAATATTTTTTATTGGGGTTTATTTTCCCACTGTTTCCTCTTTTGCAACTAAAAGAACAAGAAAAATGTGCACCCATTTTTCATTTCTCATCACATCCTTTTATATCCCACCAAACTCTTCCCTCGAACTAAACACAATATAAATGTATGGGTGGCAGAACGCTAGGTGCGCAGAGTTTTTGGTTTCAAGAGATCCAAGCTTAATTTGGATGAGATTTGAAAGCATGGCAATTGTTGCATCCCACATGAGAGAGCTACAAAGTAGTTGTTACTACGGATCAAGTCTAGTGCATTGGGCTTGGTTTATGGTCAACCCAAGCCCGATCCTAAAATTTGGGCTTAAGGCCCAATCCTGAGGTTAAGCCTGATCTTTCCAGCTCGCACTATACTTTGATGCACTCAATTTGGGCTCGACCCAATAAATAAAAAAACCTGATTTCTTAGGCCCAAGCCCAGCCCGAAGATCAACAATCCAAACCCAACCATGTAAAATTTTAGGCTGGGTCGATTCAGGCTCAGGCTAGGCCCACCCAAGTTGCACCCCTAGTTGTTACTTATGAGTTCAGATCTCCTGCAAACAAAAACTCTCTTACATAGTATCCAACAACACATTGGGGAGATCACATTCAGTCCTCACAAAATGTTCCTTACACAGTACTCATAGCCACTTACATGATTTCAAAGTGGCTGTGAGGACGATGTGATCATCGTTTTGTGAGGAATGAATCCGAGCTACACATTAAGAATATCTCTCGTGCATGTATATTAAATTCATTGGGAGATGTTCCCAATATGCCCTGATTCTCATGCTTTCACAATTTGTACATAGCTTTTGTTTGCAAAGAAACTAGTTGCATTGCTTATTAGCAAGAGCTTTTGTGTATTTAAGAAAACTCCTTCGTTATTTATGCCTTGAAGAAAGCATATTTAATTATTTTATTTTAGTGTAAATCCATTGTTGTAGGCAGTGTTTTCAACCCGTTGTTGACCTGGCCGGTTGTACCATTCGAACTATCACTAGGGGTGTCAACGATATTCAAAAATTTGATTTCGAATTCGAGATTCGGCATAATCGAATCAAATTTGGATAATTCAAATATCCAACCGGTCGAATTCGGATATTCTATTCATATCGAATAGCTAATCAGATTCAAATTCGAATATGACCTGATTCGATTTGATAAATATTAGAATATGATCGATTATTTAATTCTTATATATAATATATAAAATTTTTAAATGTTTTATGTAATTTATATATATATAATAAATAAAGTATATATTTATATACATTATATAAATAAAATATTTATTTTATATATTTATTAATTACCTAAAATAATTAATTAGTCGAATTCGGATCAAATCGAATATTTAATCGGATTTGAATCCGAATATTCATTTTCAATATCCGTCGGATATCAAAATTTTCAAACAGAGTCAAATTCGGATATTAATTTTCAATATCCGTCAGATATCAAATCGAATTCGGATATCAGATTTTCCAATCGGATTCAAATTCGGATATTGCCTGATTCGATTCGAATTCAATCCGTTTACACCCTTACTTGTCACCCAGTCAGGATTCCATGTTCGATTCTGTTAAAACTCGTGAGCCGCTCAAAACCGTTGACTTAGTTAAAAACCCTTCGACCTAGTCACCAGGTCATGGGTTACACAAGGCACCATTTTTTGCAAAAAAAAAAAAAACTTTTGTGGCCTCAAATCACAACTTTTAATATTTTTATAAATAAAAAAATGAAAAAACTAAATCAAATGTGTATAACATATCCAAAATATAATTATACATTGTTTATTGATCAAATATGTATTTGTACACACATGAATACACCTTAAATACTTACATAGATGATGATGTGGCACGATCTGACCAATTTGACCCAAGTGGTGACCCGCAACCTAGAGTAAAAAATGGTTCGGCCTATGAGTCACTTTTTTATCAATAATGGCATAATTTATTAAATATAAGGAACTTTAACTGCAAGAGAGAGGGAGGTAAACTTTCCTAACTCCCCCATTTTAGCAAAAACAAAAATACAAGATTAGAAATGAGCCCAAAAGAGAGACCCCTTATTCACCCCTTGCTTAGCTAACCCACCAGCAAGTGAGTTAGCAGTTCTCTTTACCCAATTGAGTTTCACCTCAATGTCCTTAGTCAACCACTTAATTTTTTTCTTTTCATTGTTGTAGTTCTATATGCCAGTGTTACCTTCTTTTAGCCATCTCACCACCATCAAAGGGGAATATCCAACCCAAGTTTACTCCCAAAACTTTATAAGATTGCCAGAATTCACATCATACCTGATCCACAAGGAGAAGATTGGAAAAAGATAATGGAATGACTTTCCAAGGAGAAGCACCTGTAGTCCTTGCTAGAATTTCAGGTCCCAGCCATTGTCCTCCATCACATGAATGCTAGCCGCTATCTTTGTCCACAATTTTTCCTTTTCCAACGGAAATCTCCATAACCACTTTCCCAACACCTATAGTCTTTTAAATATGATGACTATGAAGAGAGTGATTATAAAAACCACATGAAGATGCTTTCAATGGGACTAGCATGTTGAGCCATGAAGCCCATTTGAAATTCTTGATGAGAAAGATGATATGTAATAGAAATGAGTTTAAATTTTTATGACGAGACTTCTTGAAAACAAGAATTCTATGAACACCTTAAGGCCTCGTTCGCTTTTCGGTAAGTGCAATTACATGGGTAAGTTTTTCCTGGGAAACATTTACACAGGTAAGTGTAATTAACCATGTTCTTTTATTTTCCAACAAAAAAAATAAAATGACCATTTTATCCAGAAAAATCCATTATTGAAAGGGACATTTATGTCCCATTCAAGTATTGGTAACTTTCCCGTCATAGTAGGAAAGTTATTTACCCACCTAGGAGATAAGTATCACTATATAAGTGATACATAGGAAAATAAACTTTCCTAAATCCCCACATTAATTTGAAAAAAGAACATGTGATTCTTGGTCAATGGAAACCAAAATCCCATTGACCAACCTTCCCCCTTTTCAAAATCAAAAAAAAAGAACGCCCCCTAAGAGTATAACATCTAGCCACACATCGATAACATTTCCCCATGAATTTAACTTACATGTATAGAAAATGCTCCCGATATATGTTTGGATGCCAAGTTATTAGGGTACTAACATTATCCACGAAGGTATCAAAAGTTTGGTAAGCAATCCGAATGTGTCAAAACCAAACCCAAACCTCTAGTAAATAGTAGTACAAAAAAGTTGATTGTGCTTCTACTTCCTCGTGTGAACATTGATGAAACCTAATGAACCAATACATTACAAAGTTGTCCTTTCAATCTCTGACGATGATAGTTGCACCTGAGAATAATTCACTATAGCACAACGTTGATGTATAAAATCTTTTCCACAAGATGTGTGAGTTGAGATGTAAGCTGAAAGACGATAGATGACTTGAAGGACAAGGTAAAGGGCAAGAGAGAAGAGAGGGGGAGGTTACGGGGAGAAAAAGGCTGGAATGCTAGGCCCGGCCCGCACTTTGCACGCGCCATACACAAGCCGTGCCATGTTGGTCCGTTTTAGACCTCTAAGCATGACTAGTTGACACGTTGCTATGGTAAATTAATAATTGACACATATACATGGAGGTTTTAAATTTTGATGAATTCTCTATCCACAAATGATGTTTTTACTATAGCATTTATAGGAAATGCCACTTGTGCAGTATGTAACTTTGAACCAATAGAGCATATCCTTATTGCAAATTTACTTGGTTTGGTCAAATATATATATCAGTCTATTTATTGACAATAGCAAGAAACCTACGAGGGGTTTAATTCTCATTTAGAACAAAAGCTATAAGCTATAATGTCCCAAGAAACTCACAATTCTTTTTTAATGTTTGATCTTTAGTTGGCACATGCAAAAACACTACGACAATATGCATTGTCGCCCTAGCCATATAAAACCATCCTATTTGCAGCAAGACACTTGAGTGGAGGATTGGTCAAACTCTTTTGGGATGTTGATGGTACATAGGGGTGCAAATGGATCGGATCAATTTGGTCGCATTCGGATTTCTTCTTGATCGGATATTTGGATTGGATCGGATCAGATTATGATTAGATCATAAATCGGATAAGATTCGGATCATCCTCTATTTGATATAATATATTATATATTTAAAAATATATATAATACATATATATGTTATTTATTTATTTAAAAATATATTTTTTATATTATATTTTTATAATTTTGTTATATTATTTATTTTTTATAAATATATATGATGAAAATAATTAAAAAATACTTGTATTTTTGTTTATATTTTATTTAAATTAATATATTTTATTTTCTTTTAATAATTTATTAATTTGAAAGAAAACAAGTCAAGTCATATCAGATTCGAATATCCAACTTACCGATAGGATTCGAATTCAAGTCGAGTTCTATCAGATCCAATCAGATATTCTGATTGAATAAGATCCGACATGACAATGTCGGATCAGATTATAATATACCATGGTTCAACTCCAATCCATTTGCACCCCTAGTGGTACATTCTCAAAATCCAAGGCAGACATTCACATGATGGTTCTCACGATTTAGCAGGCAATGTCTTGGTGGCTATTGGAAGGCGTAGTCTTCCTTGCTCTACGTTAGAACTTAGAAGTTGAAGCTTTTATATTTGAGGAAAGGTTGAGCATGTGCCTGGACCTAATTTGGAGTCATGCAATCATAGAATGTGATTCTGTTTGTGTTATGCAACTCCCTTTCATTGATAGAGCCTTAATGCTTTGGAAGATTGGCTGTGTCACTGTCGTGTAAAACAAAGGTAAAAGAGAGAGGTAGAGCTGTTTTACAATTTTCAGATAAGATAATAGGGCAACTCATTTTATCACTAAAATGTTTGTTTCAAATGTTGGGAGCATTATCTGTCTTCCTTTATTTCTGCATATATCTGGAATGCAACAAGACAAGAAGTCTCTTTACTAATTTGAGTTGTTGACCGAATTATTCTAAGGGCTTCCAGGAAAAAAAATCTCACCTTCGCAATGGTTGGTGGGGTCATGGATTACCTCTTTTGTAAACAAATTATTTAGGCTCGTTTGATTTTGCATTCTAAAGGAAGGGGAGGGGGAATTGGTCAAAGGGTTTATAGTTATCATGATTGTCTATACATGTTGGAACAATTTTGTCCACTTAAATAATAATAATATTATTTATAGATAAAGGCGTCATTGTATACTTTACTTGGGAATCAAGAGAACCTATACGTAAGTTAAACTATTTATACTTACACAGCTAGATGAACTTATGTAGGTAAATAGATTTATGAAAAACAAATGGGGCTTTGTAACGAAATATAATAGACAACACAAGACAAATAAAGCATATTAATTTTGCCAAAAAGTTCAAATATATAGCTACTGTTGGCTCACGCAAAATGAAACCAAAATATCTATATTCCACATAAAAGAAAAAATGGAAATCAGACAATAAAGTAAAAGTCAAATACAATCGACGCGTTGTTCATTTTTTTTGGAAGCCAATTACTTGGGTAAATGTGTTTATTCAGACAAATATTCCATAGGAAACACTTATTCTCGGAAAAGTGCATTTATCAATGTCATTTTGTTCCATAAATAAAATTAAACTGACTGTTTTATCTACAAAAATGTCATTATTGAAGGGATCATGTTAGAAAAAAACCTTTATTCTTACCTACTAATACTATAAAACAAACTTAAATTCAACAATTCTTGCACTAACCAATTTATTCTCTCCATTTGCTGAAAAAATGAAGGAGGCCCGAAAAATATTGGTTTTTTTTTTTTTTACTTTTTTTTATCATAAGAAAATGAATTTTATTAATGAAAGATTAGGAATTACAAGGTATGCGATGTGATTTCCACCCAAATCAACAACGATTATAGGTTTGCCCAAAACATTTGCCTTCTCACATATTAATTTAAAAATTGTTTATTATTACTTGATTAAGTGTTCATAGTCCATATACGTTTGTTCATGAGTAGAAGTAACATATATGGTTGATAAATTTAGGAAGATCTGATTCAATCCTCACAAGACTGTGCTCACATGCACTTGCAAACGTGTGTCGAAAATACCTCCATACTTGTATTATTTATTCATCATGAGACCCAATGCATAGTTGGCCTATTAATGGTACTTGAAAATTCAAGGCCCAATCTGACATCCAATAGGATTGTCTCAGAATCGGATGATGTATTTATGTAATCAGATCAGATTCAAATGTTACAATCTACACCTGATTAATAATCATATTGGATTTGGAGTTGATCACATCCGATCCAATTATATTATAATATTTATTAATTTTAATATATACATTTTATATAATAAATTTAGTATGTTATATTTATATTAATTTATTATATATAAAAGTTTACAAATAAACATTATTTATTTATTTATTGGTATTTTAGAAAAATTATAGCACAATTAGATTAAACCCAAATCCATTCAGGTTTGAATTCGAATCCAAACCTTTAAATCCAATGGATTTTGAATAAAATTTAGATATAGATTCTCAACAATTGGATTAGATGCAGATTTTACTACATCGGATCTGAGTTTGATCAGATTACAACCCTAATGCACAACTGCAAGTGGCTGTAATGGTAGAATTGGGATCTATTCCTCACAAAGATCTCACAGGCACATCCCGTCGTGCATTGAGAACATCTCCCGTAAATAATAACACATAAATACGATAAATGTTTCCAATGCATGGTAGGATGTATCTATGAAGTCCCATGTGTGAGAAGCATATCAGGTATCGTAACAGTGTGAGCACGGTATTGTTGGACTGAATCCGAGTTCAGTTTTAGAGTACATCCATCTCCATGGACACCAACATTTGGATGAAAAAGCCGAGGCATATAAATTATTTTTCTCGAATGGATTACAAATGCATCATGGGCCATACATCTGTAATACTGTGTATCAGGTGTAGGGGTGGCAACGAGCCAAGTTTTTCATGAGCTGCTCAAGCTCGATTCGTGAAAAAACTCAACTAGGCTCGATTTCAGTCGAGCTCGAGCTCGAGCCCAATTTAGTGGCTCGATTATTAAATGAGTCGAGCTCGAGCCTACTAGAGCTCGGCTTGTGAGGCTCGCGAGCCGACTCGAATAATAATAATAATATATAATAAAATTATAGAAAATAATTTATAATAAAAATATTATAATTATTAATTATCATAATTCTTAATTTTTAAATACAAAATAAAAAAATTATATATAATTTTTATTTTTATAAAATATAAAATGAGCCGAATCGAGCCAAGCTCGAACTTATAAACTCTTGACTCAAGCCGAATTGGAGCTTATGAACTCTTGACTCGAGCCGAGCTCGAACCTAATACTATTAAGCTCGACTCGGCTCGGCTCGAATCCACTCCTAGTCAGACGGTATGATTCCCAATATTCTACGAGTACGATGCATTCGTTGGGAGCAAAGAGACTTATGGACCCGATTCTTATGGTCCTAGTCGGCGGCAAATCTTTCCTCCCGCGAAGACTACTGAGGTCGAAAAATTCAAGATGGCGAAAAGATAACGAAAGGAGGCAAGTGCAAACCATTTGAAAAATCGAGTTACCTTATGCCACGTCATCGATCCGAAGCAAGGCTCTAGTCTTCATCTCAGCCGTACATGCATGCGGATCTGACAGTCAAAAAACTCTCTTGAAAATCCGTCGAGAAGTAGGATCGATCCTCAGCCGCTTGGCGTTTTTGTATAAATACCCCGGAATACCCCATACATTTATCAAGCCTTAGAGAAGAAAGAAGCACTGAAGCAGTGTTCGGAATTTCAGGTTTTCTGTCAATAGCGTATTTAGCTTCCGAGAAACGACAATGTCGGGCCGTGGAAAGGGAGGAAAGGGTTTGGGGAAGGGTGGTGCGAAGCGTCATCGTAAGGTCCTTCGTGATAACATCCAGGGAATTACCAAGCCAGCCATCAGAAGGTTGGCTAGAAGAGGAGGTGTGAAGCGTATCAGCGGTCTGATCTACGAGGAGACCAGAGGAGTTCTCAAAATCTTCCTCGAGAACGTGATCCGCGACGCTGTGACCTACACCGAGCATGCTCGTCGTAAGACGGTTACTGCGATGGACGTGGTTTATGCTCTTAAGAGGCAGGGCAGGACTCTCTATGGGTTCGGTGGTTAGGGTTTTCATAAGAAAAGTCTTGCTGTCAAGAAAAAGAAACACAAGAACTAGTTGTCCTCTTTCCTTTTCTGTTTCTTCTCTAGGGGTGTGTAGTTGGTTACTCAATCTTGTAATTACTATGCCCTCTGTCCTGTTGTTGGAGAGGGAAAATGTAGATGTAATGCACACCTTGTTGAATCAATCTAGAAAATTCTTCGTTTCGTATTTTGATTCATGTGTCACCATGTGTGAAAATTTATGTTTGAAGATTGCTGCATCTGATTCAATTATCTACTATGTTTCCTAATGGAGCTGATGCTGATGTCTATGATCATGTCCCATCTAGATGGATTCTAGGCAGCAAAGTGTGGTGTTCCTTTCTTTCTTCAGCTTTGAAAATTGAAATCCTTCGGCGTATGTCTTTTTACTGGTCCCCATCCAACAGAAAACATGTTCCTAGAGTTTCCGCAGAAATCGTTGTCTGGCATCCTAAAATCCTTTCCTTCGGAGTTTTAATGACTATAAGCATAGATATATTGGCTTATCTTGAAACGCAGTCGTTGCGCGAGCCGTTCACCGAAGCTTGTAGTAATTGTTTAACCCATGAAGAGTCGTGTCGGATCAACGAATTAAGAGTGATTTTGCTATCCTATCAAGTATGTTCACCTCACCCCTATTCTTACTCATTTTTGATTGTTAAACAATATAATTTTTGCCCGGGTTTCTGTATGGTCAGAATTTTGATATTACTCTAACTTGCCTTGAAGTACGAAGTCAATCTATGCTCATTGATATACTTCTATCACTACACCAAAGTGGTATTTTTATTACTGTTAGGAATATCTCCGGGTTATGTAAAATCGATGTATGCGTGGCTTTGTATCACGCATTTGTATGATTGGCGGGTGAGTTGTGTTGAGTCTCCAATTTGCCAATTTGGAATCTTAAGAATAAGGGTCTGAATTGGGGATGAATCTAGTGCACAGGTGCATTGGATGTATAGTGGTTCACTGGACTAGGTTTTGTTCTTTTCCCTTTTTGATTAAGGTAAATTAATGATTTGCACTATAACAGGCCAAAAGCATGCAAGGCATGCTCTTTAGAATCTGTACATTGTTCAGTGATGTTCTGTACAGAAGATTGTACATAAATTGTTTGCTAATGAAAACGAAAAGGAATTTCTTTCATGCCAAACTTTCCATAGAACCATAGCAGGAAGCACCTATCCTTTTACTGTCTTTCTGGGTGCCAACCCGGAAACTAAGGACTATGGAAAGGACAATTAAATCCTGCCAGGAAGTACCAATCAGATCAGCCCAAATGAGTTGTGGTATTATGGCAGTGAACAAAAAGATGACTGTGTATTTCCAGTGAGGAAAAGCATGGCACAAAGTTCTGGTTAGACTTAAGAAAACTCCCGTATGTCAGGTGTTTTTGCTCAATTTGACAGGGACTTTCAGTGGGGAGCTGATCGTTAAACAATACATGTTTAGATTGTTACCAAGTGGATCCCTTACTTGGTTGCATAATGAAAAGGTTGAATTATAAGGTAACTCATTGGATGGTACAGAAAGTTATATACAAGGGTAATGCTTCAAATTCTATACACTGATAATGCATTGACACGCTTCACTCCACTTTGTGCTCCATGTTCTTGATTCTTTACTATTGTACAGTTTATTTACTTGATCTCTAAATTGAAGGAGATTTTTTAATCATTTTCTATTTGAACCAACCTTTTTCTTAAAATTATCAACTGTTATCATCCCGACAGAAGCATTCCATCTTGAAGCTTCAGAGCTCTCCAAAAATGTTACTTATTCTTATAATAACTTGTCTGATCCAGAGAAAAGAAAGCAGTAGCAGAAGTTCTGGGTTTGAGGTGAACATCTTCACCCCATATTTTTTTTTCATATTTTATTTAAATATGCACTACTACTTAATTATTTGAGTTATGATCTGTTGCCATGGTTATGTAGAGTTCTAGATTTACACATTTTGTACATCTGATAGTAGATACACCTGTCAAAATGAAAGTTTGTTAGATAATCGGAGTGCCAACTGCCATCCATACTTTATTGGTCATCATTTTGATTTTTGAGCAATCAGGAGATGCAACATTCATTACATGTCCATGTCTGAGATGATGATCAAGTGGCAAGACTAGCGGTAACCATGGCTCAAGCACAGGGGAGCAGTTGTGCCCCTTGTTTATCTCTTGAGTAGGAGATAAAAAGGTGTTGTTGAGCAGGAGACCAAGAAGAAGAAAAGAAGAAGGAAGAAGAAGAAGGAGAAGAGGAAGAAGAATAAGAGGCAACTGAGTTAAGGCCTCAACAAAACTTAGCTTCAGTTGAGTGAATCTTTCTATTTATACTATTTTGGCCGTACATAACAATATGTCTACAAAATTACGAAAATACCCCTGCGGGTAGTAAGCCTGTGTACAGTACATATAATACACCTGTTAACACTCCCCATCAAGTTGGGGCATAGATATCAATCATGCCCAACTTGTCACAGAGACCTTGATGTTTGGAATGGTTTAGCTCTTTTGTAAATAAGTCAGCAAGTTGGTCTTCAGAGCTGATGTATGGAGTGCATATTTCGCCTGTGATGATTTTCTCTATGATAAAATGCTTGTCAACTTCAATGTGCTTTGTTCTATCATGTAGTACCGGGTTGGCAGCGATATTGATTGCTGCCTTGTTGTCACAGACTAGAGTCATGGTTTTACCAAGTGGAAAATCCAACTCTCCCAATAGATTCTTTATCCACATACCTTCGGCTACTCCGTGTGACATTGCACGGTACTCAGCTTCAGCATTGGATCTAGCTACCACACGGTTTGCTTCTTACTCCTCCAAGTAACAAGGTTCTCTCCTACAAAGGTGCATTAACCACTAGTAGACCTTCTGTCACTTTGAGATCCAGCCCAATCTGCATCTGTGTAAATTTCAACCCTCAAGTGTCCATGTTTCTGGAATAATAAACCAGCACCCGGGAACTTCTTAAGATACCGTAGTACTCTCTCYGYTRCTTCAAGATGGGTGGACCTAGGTGCATGCATGAACTGACTGAGGACACCAACARCATATGCTATGTCTGGACGAGTCATAGAGAGGTACAACAATCTCCCTACAAGCCTTTGAAATTGCTTCACATCCTTAAGTGGTTCACCTTGACCGTCACTTAACTTATGGTTGGGATCAATGGGAGAGTCAGCTGGTTTAACCCTAATCTTTTCCGTGTCCTTGAGCAAATCTAGGACATATTTCCTTTGGAAGATGAAAATACCCCTTTTTGATTGGACAACCTCAATCCCAAGGAAGTATTTGGTGGGTCCTAGATCTTTTACCTCGAACTGAGTGGCAAGGAAGCCCTTCAAACTTTGAATTTCATCCTTCCAGTCACCAGTAACAATTACATCATCCACGTATACTATTAGGGCAGTCATTTTACCTTCTATTCTTTTTACAAACAGTGTGTGATCTGACTGACATTGCTTGTATCCCCTCTTCTGAACTACAGTATGAAATCTGTTGAACCAAGCCCTTGGTGATTGCTTCAGCCCATATAAAGACTTCTTCAACTTGCACACTTTTTGTTCACTTCCTTGAGCCAAAAAACYGGGGRGTTGARCCATRTAAACTTCMTCTTCAAGGTCACYATTCAAGAAGGCATTCTTGATGTCGAGCTGATGTAGATCCCAATTCAGATTGGCAGCAAGAGAGAAAAGGACTCTAATAGAGTTCATTTTGGCAACAGG